TTCAGGCCTTCCATTAACCATCTCTCACTCCCAGTGACTCCAGTCGCTCAGTAGATCAGAAAACATAGGGAGTAGGTAACTCAGTAACTATTCCCAGTAACTCGCGGTAACTCTCAGTCACTTCAGAAAACCAGTAAACACTGGGAGTAGTTAACTAGCTCAGTAACTACTCCAAGTGACTCCTTTTTACTGCACTTCTCAGAACCCTCTTAACTCAGTAACTACTCCAAGTGACTCCTTTTTACTGCACTCCTCAGAACTCTCTTACCTCAGTTACTAGTCCAAGACTCCTTTTTACTGCACTCCTCGGAGCTCTCTTAACTCAGTTACTGCACCCAGTGAATCCACACCACTCCCAGAGAACTAAGTAAATACTACTGGGATGTCTGGCGTGCAGTCGTTGAGGCTTTACGGTCTTACACCCAGTAACTTAGAAACATCTCCACACATCTCCCTTTGGAAACATTTGACTCGGTACCTACTGCTAGCAAGTCCCAAAGATTCCCAGCAAAAAAAACTCAGTAAATACTGGGAGTACTTAACTCAGTAACTACTCCCATTAGCTGGCTGCCTCCTACACCAGTAACTCAGAAACATCTCCAGATTCTCCACGGATCTCCATGTCAAGTTTTAACTCGGTAACTCCTGACAACTCCCTACCATCTCAGCAACTCCTTGCTCCTGTTACTGGTTACTCCCGCCAGTCAATTCTGGGCTCTGAGAATTTTCCAATCAACTTCGTCGTAATTTCCCCGTGGCACAGAAATCTCTCACAACTCCCATGTATCAAGGAGCCCCAGTTAGTTTTCCTCTTTTTTTTTCTTTTTTTTTTTTTTTTGGCAAAGAAACTCTGCTTATTTTATTATTAACCAAAAAGCACAAGAGCGCGGGAGTTCCTCGAAAAAACAACCCGAACAAGAAATATGAGCTGGGACTATTACCCAGCTTAGGTCCACGCAGTGGGAATTTATGTGCAGGAACAGAAATGGCCAAATCTGGAGCGCTTTCGTTGAACCAGTTCGGTTTTTTTTTTTTTTTTTTTTTTTTTTTTTTTTTTTTTTTTTGCGTTGAACCGGTTCGTTTTCTAACAAGCCTATCATCAACATGTGAAAGTATTAACAGTTTTATCCATGAACTGACAGGCCTAGCTCAGTTGGTAGTACTTGGTACACACCCATCAACTCTTGTATAGTTCCCAGTGAGTGCGCTATCAGAATCCCGAAAAAGAAACGTGTGATATCGCACTCACTGTCTGGATTTGAGTTTTGAGTCCAGATGCAAGCAGATGAACAGAATAAAATCATTATGAGAATCTGAATAAAAGCAAAGTAAGCAAACAGTTATCCATGGATCTGAGGGAAGAGAGAGCACTCCCCCACTCCCCACTCCCCCACTCCCCCAGTGAGTGCACTACTATCACACATCCTCATGTCTTTCTGCAAGTTTCCACTGACAGTTTTCATTTAAAGTTGATAGTTGAAACTTTAAAGTTTAAAGTTTAAACTTTTTTTGTTTTGTCGTTTTAAAACATTTTCAGCGCTCTCTTAGTGACGATTCTAATCACACTGACACGGCCTGCATGCTGATTTTCATTGCCACTGCCACATTAGCCAATTTTATTTTTTTATTATTTATTAAATTATTTTTATTATTTATTATTTTAATTTTAATTTTAAAATTTATGTTTATTTTTATTTTTAATATTCGATCCAAGTCGATAGTTTCCAGTTTAGAAAAGAGAGGGGGAAGCCAAGACAGATGGAGGGGAAGAGTATCACTGCAATCAATTCCCACTTCTCCTCCAGGCTTCCCACCTCTGCCGCGATAACAGACAGCGTGTTGGGGGCAAGGTGGAGATACAAGAGATACGTAGTCCGAAATAGTGGGCGTGGGTGCTGGATGTAGTCCTCTTTCGCACTAACTGAATCAGCAGACAAGAAAGGGCCAGGCCTAAATCGACGGACTGTAGAGTTTAGCGCTCCCGAGGCAGAGATGTAGAACTGGAATCCAGTCCGTGCAGGGACTCTCAGTTGTCGGGCGGACAGTCGTTGATGCTTAAACCACCAGTACTTGGCCCAGCTATCGGCCGCCGAAAAAAATAGACTAGAAGCGTTTCCAGTCGGATGAATTTGGACGCTCCTGTATTGGCCTGCACGTTTCCTAAAATAATTAGGTAGGAAGTATTGCAGAGTACTGCAGTGGTTTAATCACAACTTATAGTCTACGCGGATTAAATTCTGACAACTGAGACCCTGCATCAACTGAGACCTTATCAATTACGTCTCTCAGTCGATACGGTGGATTTAACTGGATTATCATTTATAATCTACGCAGTTTGTCTGGGTACCTGGGGGCCCAACTTATGCCCAGATACAACCCCCCTGGGCCGGCCAGGCATGAACCCCAGGC